AATGAAAATTTATATGTTTTAAAAAGTGAATGTACGTAAGTTTCAGTTATATTAAAACATATCAAAATGGTTATCATATTAAATACCTGTTTCAGAAAAATAAACTGAATAGAATAGATGAGGAAAAAATAGAGCCGGTATTCCAAATATAATTTTCTAGATGAGGAGCAAATAATTTTGTTCAAGTTCTTAGCTTATTTAAGTTTTGGGAAAGAGATAAAAAAAAATACCTATGGTAAAAATTATAAACTTTAGCGAACTAAAAATAAATATTTGAAAAGATTTTTTTAAAAAATGATGCAGCATCTTTGTGAATGTGTGGAGTAGTCCTGTGAATTGGGCAATAAGCTCCAAGGACTCATTTGCATTCCCACACTTTTGTTAGAGACACAGTGCAAATGTAAGCAACTAAGAATGAACTCAAATCTATTTTGGCAAAAAAAAAAATCAAAACAATAAAAACGAAGTACAGATTTGAGTATAATTAATTTTCATAAAATTTTAATTAAACCCTAAAGGAGTTAATATGGAAACTAAGTTAATTATGGTAAATTGTAATGGTTTATGTATCTTGAACATTTTTTTAAAAAAGGAAAAAAAAAGGTTAAAATATCACAAAATACTCTGAAAAAAAAAGAAAACAATGTCAAATTATTTGAATTCTATTTTTAATGTCAATGTTAATCAAATGTTGTGATTAATAAACAATGCTAAATATCTTTTCTGAAAAAATCGTCAGGTTAAGAAAAAAAATATTTTTTGAAATATATTGCCGCTTGTGTTTTAGCATTAAGCTAAATATCTTCCCATATCAGAAGTAATATATAGTAATGTTATTCCAGAATACATCTTCATATTCTAGGGCTTATGCAGAGAAATGATACATGTGTTAGTAATTTAGCCAATTTTGAGATAAATTGTTTGTTATAAAGTCAAACCTGTATATAGATAGAATTTATCAGAGTAAGTTAGAGATTCAGAGTTCTGAAACTATAAATATTTTGTTCAACTGATAAACTGCTATGTATTTCATAATTGTTCATTCTTAACAAATTGAAGACTAATTCAGAGGGCTTTTTCTTTTTCCTTAGTACATATTTATTGCGTAACTCGGATTACACATTTATCAACTTTGGACTAATTATTTTTCTACAGATAGGGCAGGGCATTGCATCTTGTGATCGTCTTTCTTACTAATAGGATTCTGTCTGCATCAGCAGGCAGTAATTGAAGGCTTCAGATACGAGAGGATCTTTTCTGAAAAATAAAAAAGTTTTAGCTTCTGTGGGCCACTGTCACTGTTCCCGGTAAGAAAAAAAAAAAAAAGAAAGAAAACTGAACTAAGAATAGAAAAATCAACGAGGAGGAGGAGTGCCGAACAGGAAAGTGTGTGCTCCTCAATTATGCACAACAAACCCGGATTTGCTGTAAACAATTGTGCTGGTAGTGAAGGCTCAGTTGTAAATGTACTTTTTCAAAATAGGACTAGATTTTTAGAGTGACTATTTTGTTACTCTTTATTCTCAGGACTAGAATTCTTGTATAACCTTTCTGAATTTTAAGTGCCTCTACTGCATATTGTAGCTAAAATCTATCTACAAATAAAGGGAAAATAACTCATAGCTTGTAGGTAGGATAGTCACTATCACAAAGCCAGCATTTGGGAAATACCATCACCTTGTAAGCTGTGACACTCCAATTTTTCCTTTTATTAGGAATTATTAATAGCTGTAACTTGAATATTTATATGACAAGTATTAGCAAATGTAAATCTTATGAAAAGTAAACAAGAAGAGCTTCTTGGTTTTTAACTGTTGAAAGACTGGAAACTTTTTGAAAGCATATCAAACTTCCTTGATGTTGATTTAGAAATCAATATAAGTTTTCTTAGCTACTGACAGATACTATGTTTATGTAAGTACATGAACTCTGCCTCTCTTATTCCATAGAATAATTAATGTTTTTAAAGAAGGAAAAAAAAAAACTTAGGAAAACTCAGAATATACAAATACATTTCACATTTTTATATTTTGATTTAATCTTAATTTTTAATAAATCAGTAAAATTGTAGCAGCTGTGGAGTTTTTGAAATATTTTTCATTATAAAAGCAGTTTTTGCAGATATCATTATCAGAAAGAAAACTAGCAAATAACTGCAGTATAACCAAAATGGTCATTTTGAAATTATTAGTAAATATTTGGGTTTGCTTTCTGATTATATTCTCATTTACCATTTTTCATTTTATCATTTTCTTTCACGTTCACTCATGTACCCTTTGTGGCAACAGAATGATAATAAATAATGTCATAATAAATAACATGTTTTATTAAGAATTGTTCAAAAGACAACACTTATATTTTGGACCTACATAACAACAATGTACAAGTTGGATTTTAACATACCACAGTTTCCAAGGCTTAATGGAGTCCCTTTTTTTTTTTCATTATATTTTTCAAAATTTTAGTATTCTAATTCTTTTCTTTATGGCTGTATCAGCTTTCAGGAGAAAAAAAAAAGTAAAAGCAATTACTGACCTCTTGGGAAGAGGGGGAGAGAGAGAGAAGAAGAAGAAGAAAAAAAAGTATTCTACAGCTTCTCACAAAGCATAAATATATGGAGTGATTAATTTTGAGTGACTTTCTGATCTAAAAATCTCAGTTGAGCAGAACACACCTTTTGTAAAATCTACTTTGGCTTATGATAAGGTTAAATATATACAATATAATAACATCTGCTTAGTCAAAAGACCAGGTATTACCCAAATCATTCAGTGATGGTGTTTTTGAAACATCTAATAGTGATCACTAATCCAATCCTTTAGTAACTATATTTAGTTTCAGAGACTGTACAAATATATTTGTGCTATTTCTCCTTTTGGAGACTAAATTATCTTCCTTATCTTATAGGGAAGAAATTTTGTGTTCCAGAGTTCCAAATGATTGTTAAAGACACTGTGTTGTTCTTCTATTCATCCTTTTAAATGGTGAAATAAATCATCTGATTCTATTGCCATTCTTTTTCTCTGGAAGTAATTCCAGACTGGGGACAACTACATTGAGTCCCCTGGCCTGTGTTTGTTATGCACCCTAACAAACACTTTGGGTAAAATCATCTGTGTATCCGACTTTGCAGCTTGCAAAACGCATTCAAATTCACATTTATTCATTTCAACTATTTTACTCAAGGTGATCTTGATGGCCCTGCCTGCTTTTGCAAATAGGTGGGTAAAAATATCAGAGCAAAAGTGGTCTCTGATGCCTTAGGCTGCCCTGGCTTTATCCGCAGCCTGACTTTGCATCACTTTCCGGTTTGATTAAAAGAGCGGGTAATCAAGCCTGGAGGCTAGGAAACAGCAGCAGTGCCAGCTACCACCCTTTCCATGCGCCTCCTCAGCCATAATCTGCTCCTCTCTTGTCCCAAGGCACAACTGCTAAGTAAATAAAATGACTAATAAGACTATTGTTTATATTAATTATCCTCGTCCAAATCAACAAGAGAAATGGCAGTCTCTTCGGTTGCTTTGCAAATGGGAACAATCATCCATGTAAGTAGCTAAGTAGTTATTTTTCATAGTAGTAATATTGGCTTAGAATTTCCTATTAAAGGGAGAGGTCCGTGAATGTATCTCTAATCTGGACAAAAGAAATAGGTTGACCTGTGATGGGTGACATGAGAGAAGCGCTGCGTGTTTCCTTAATTAGTATAATGCGTTACGAGATTTTGATATGCCTAGTTTAAAAAAGAAAAAAGAAAGAAAAAAGAGAGAAATTACTTCTCGTTTAAAGAGAACCTGCTTAAGTGGCTAATATTTTAATTAAGTCGGGAGGGAAGTTTTTTGAGTATCTCCCGATAAACTCCCTCCTTTATGCGGAGGGTAATTGAACAGCTCCCCGCGGCCCGCGCTAATTGCCAGGCGGGCGGCGCTGCCCGGTTGGCGGCTCGTGAGGCGGCGGCGGC